CACACACACACACACACACACACACACACACATATTACATACTCCCTCTCTTACAATAAACACAATGCAGTCTGTTGTAAGCATACACACAGCATTGCAGTCCGGCTACTTTTGAGACATATCCTGTTTTGTTTTGTTTTTCTGTTAGAGACCACGCACGTCCTAATCGACTCCTTGAAATTAGACAAAAGGAAACATGCATTGTGGACAGCAACAGCTGTGTTTTAGAGAGAGAGAGAGAGAGAGAGAGAGAGAGAGAGAGAGAGAGAGAGAGGGGGGGGGTGGGGATTTATTTGGAGGGGAGGGATGCACAATACGAGTAACTCTTTGAGTTCTGAGTAACTTCGAGCTGCAGAGGAAAAATAAAAAGTTGGCCAAGTCAACTTATAGATAATCAATGAAGCAGGATTCATTTCTCTCACCAAACATTTGCATTCAAGGGTTTTATGAATCAATCGCTTAAAACTTACAACAAAAACTTATGCAGATGCGAGCGCTGTCAAACACTTACCAGCACAAAACATGACTAAAAAAAACCCATCATCAAACATGAAACCTTTCTGACCTGGCTTCGGCCACCTGCTGGCCTTCGCCCCTTCACCTCTTCACCCCTTCATTTTACCTTAACGACGAAACAGTTTTGTTTATACCAAGGAGAACGGTTTCGGCCTCTCCTGCTTCAAGGTCAGTGAACTTCCAGGTCGGCAAGATCCCGCGTCGATCGTCAGGACAGCTGGAGCGCTTCTCCTGTAGGGTGTGCGCACAAAGCAGCTTGTACAAAGTCAAACGATATTGTCCGATTTCGACATCGGTTGAGAACTACCCAATCCCAATTCTCATCGATTTCCCAATTCAAAAAGTCAATCTTTTCGCTTTTGGCAACATGTAACTGTTAAATGGTTCAAATATGCAAACGGGTTTTTGATGCTGAATACCGTCACGGACCATACCATCAACCCTTTCGACTTCGACAGAGTAGTATCGTGTACACACTCCATGAGCTCAATCTCCGACCGAGCCACGCTTTACACTAATATTTGCATAACGCCGGCGAACAGAATAATAATAACATAATAATGGCCAGAACGTCCACGCAATAACACACAAGGAAACTGTGCTTTCCTATAATCATTCTCCTTTGAGATACACCTTTCTCTGAGCGCTCCACGGCTGCTTTTGCTCCCCCCCCCCCACCAGAAACCCAGTGGTCTTGTTCACGACTTGAATTGAATGAAAAGTCTGCGCGGGCGTTTCGCTTTCGACCGTGGTGCGGTCTCGTCACAGCCAAGCCAGCTGGAGCGTTGTGACCCTGTTTCGTGGCCGCACATTCAGTCAAACTGTGTACGTGAATACTACAAGGAAGAGAATTTTATCTTTCGTCCATCCGAAACTGGAGACACATCGTGTATAATTTATCTGAGCTTGGATACTACTGGAGATGGCGGCATCTCATGCAAGACACTGCATCATCGCTGTAGACGGGAGTGAGCACTCGGAGTATGCGTTTGAGTGTGAGTAATGATCATAAATACCTGTCATAATAATAATTGGCTTTAGGCTATATTATTTTATAGGTCTGGCGTATAGCAACGTTCTACAATACAACAGTACTTGTAAACCCCCTTTCTTTAGCCAGCGACCACTTTCGTATCGTTTATTGGCTTTATGAGACTAACATTTTCGTTCCGACCACCCACATTGAATATTACCTTTTGCTTTTTCATGAGCGATCTCCACCAACCATGAAAATTAAAAAAATCGCCTTCCAGTGGGCTATAATCACTCCCAGGTTGGCAACCTCTTCTCTACAACTGTACATCTTCTGTTGCTCTCATCCCCGTCACAGAGTGCTGTGATGACGGTGACTGGTTCGAATGCTTTACCGAGGGTTCTTTAGTGGACGGTGGTTTGAGGAGTTTCACTGCTTATCGTCACATTAGCTCGATACTTTCTGAGATGGGCGAAAGATAGTAGGGCCAGATTCCTATGCAACCAAACTGTGTTAAAAAGGGGGAAGGACTTCCGTGACTAGCGACCACTCCAACAATCACAATAAAGGAGACCGTCAAACCCTACCCCTACCCATATACCAAACCCTAACCCTAACGCCCTAACTCTAGCCTTAACCCTTACCCTACCCTCTGTTCTATACTCTATTTCACAGTGGTCGCTCTTTACGGAATTCCTCCCAAAAAGGGCTTTTAGTACATAGCATCATGAGGTAGCTTAAAGTTAAAAACGGAGCAAAAAACAAAAACAAAAACAAACAACAACAACAACAACAACAACAACAACAACAACAACAACACAAGGGAGGCGGTGGCCCTGGCGAAGAGCACACTCTTCGGGGCTCCGAACATTTCGAACGGATAGGCTACCACACACACACACACACACACAACAACAACAACAACAACAACAACAACAACAACAACAACCGCATCTGCTACCCTGTGGCTCAACGGTACGTGACTGGGTACAGCTTTACTTTCCAGAGAGCGAATTGTTGTGCATACTTTAACTCCTGGTGGACGCACATTGTGGTCATTTGACAACACTTAGAGACGTGCTGTGTTTGGGAACTTGAAAAAGAAGCATAATTTTATTTTATTCAAACATATTTTAAAATTCTGTGTTAAAACGGCAAGCAGAAACAAACATACTATGAAATACGATGTATGCAAATCCGTCTTTCTGATTCGTGTACGATAGTTGGAAATGTACCCAACGTGGCCTTGGATCTGCTGCTGATAGGACATACTAAAATATGTGCCCGCTACAATTTTAAAGAGTTAATATTTTCGCTGTTTTCATAGAATTGTTCATCCGGCAAACTCCTTTGATCTACGCCCTGGTCCAACCGGGCAGAATATATTAACTCTACACATTTTGTTTACATTAACTTCAATGTCGATAGGCCACTTTAACTCTTTGAGAACGAAGCGAACACATAAATATATGCGTCCGATCAGCAGCAGACCAAAGGCAATGTTTAGGTGCATTTTCAACATTCATACACTTACTGGATGTACTAATTTGCACATTTTATTCCATGCATCTATTGCATTCCCACGAAAGTTTCAGATGAAGAAAACAAAGAGCTAAAAATCTGTTTAGATAATGAAATTTTTCACCCCAAACAGTGCGACTCCAAGTGGTGTCCATTGACCAGAACCTGCGTCGTCAAAAATTTAAGTTCTTTGAAAGGCAGCATTGCCGAGTCAGTTCCCCGCCCAAGACTGGACTTAATGTAAAGCTGCCCAGAACGCATTGGGTAACTTTTTAAGGATGAAGAGAACACATACAATGATATTATAATATATGTCTAACCTGCAGCAGACCGATGATAATATATGTTGCAGTTAATTCGGAACCATCATACACAAATAAATAGGAAACACAAAATTGCGTAATTTTCATAATTTACATTTGTCCAGTCGTGTTGTTGTCTGCCTGCTAAAGTTTCAGGAAGAGAAAACAACTCCACAATTTGTGAATAATGAAGTTTAGCTTCTTTTTTTAAATTGCCCTAAAATAGTACATCTTCAGACGATGTCGAATGACCTGTATGCACGTCCAATCATAATATGTTGGCCGACATCGATAAGAGTAGGCTTCCACTGCCACACGGGCAAAATTCAAAATGAATTCCTACCAAACTGAAAAAGTGTAATTAATGTGTCCCGGGGGCTCATTATGACCGTTTGCAGTTGAAAGCGCCGTAAAACAAAAAAAAAAGAAGAAAAAAAGTCAACAGACATTCAAACCTAAGTGGCCCCACCGTGCGATAACCTCATGCCAGCTCATACCCCATTAATGAAGCTAACTGCGTTTCTTTTTTACCTTGTTCTTATATGCCCCACTCACCCATTCCTCATGCGCTCACTCATTAACGCACTCGGGCACTTAAACTAATACTTACACCCGAACACGCACGTGAACACACACACAAGCACGCGAACACACACACAAGCACACGTACTTACACAGACACACTGGCATACACACATACGCTCTCTTTCTCTCCACCCGCTCTCTCTCTCTCTTTCTTTCTCTCACGCACAATTACACACGTCCACACTCACAAGAAAACACATACC